AAAAAAAAAAAAAAAAAAAAAAAAAAAAAAGCAGCACATCAGCTGTTCTCTGAATGTGCCCGTTAATTATCGCCTGCAGTTTTAAACAATGAAGCGCTCACATTTGAGAAACTGTTTGTCTATGAACTGCTCAACAGAGCCATCCGCACCCTGTGTGAAATGCTTCAAAAAAAAAAAAAATAAAAATTCTATACTAATAATGTGAACATTTCTGTGGATCACTGGGAAGATTAATGTTATGGTAAAACCAGTCAGACAGTGTTCAGAGTGCAGCTTACCAAGCGTGAGGGCTTCAGAAGGAAAGTACCTCGCGTTGTGTAAAGTCTGCTGGAAGCAATTTTCATAACGGGTTAATAAGCCTGGCACTATTTTTTTTTTTTTAATTTATTATTTTTTTTCCTCACGGTGCTTATTTCACTGAAATATTTCACAGATGTTTATGAGATTGACTGCTGGACACAACCGAATACAGGACCAACTCAACGTACCCTAAAAGAAGGAGCTGATGTTGGAATAAAAGCAAGTAGATTGGAAATAGGTTTGAAATCAGCGTGTTGGTTAGTCTTAACAGCGCACACCTGAACGTTGTTACACTCCTCAGAGCCGCAGCATTTCCTGCTCTATGTAAACCCTAAGCAAGCTGGAGGGGAGGAAGTAGTTGGGGTGTTGTGGGTTGGTTTTTTGGGTTTTTTTTTCTTTCTTTCTTCCTCCCTCCTATGTGTAAATGACAGAGGTACTTGTAGCGTTAGGTCTGTTTTGTTGGTGACTATTTGAAGCCGTTTATAAAGCGCATCTCAGGTTTTCAAGCACTCCAGTCTAAGGTAATGTTTGCAGTCTTCCTTGTGTGTCCAAGAGCTACATCCCTGTAAGAGCTGCTGGTTATTGACTGTGATATATGATGAGTACTATCTTCTGATTTATTTTTTTTTATATACTCTGTTAACTTAGTGTGAGTGCCTTACACTAATGCATTACATTGGTTTCACTACCCAGAGCTGTATTTATCAGATGCTGAGCGATTGGGTTTATCTAGACTCTTATTTGTCGTGGCTTGTGCAGGTTTTGCAGTATCTATCCTTGAAAGCTGGTAGTACCTTAATGTTATTAAATCGTTCTAGAGTAGTGTCTCATCTGTACTGATGACTATCCAACAGCTTGAGCACCTTGTGCACTTCAATTTAAAATGAAAGATGAAATTGCTGCCACGGTCTTCTTCATCACGAGGCTGGTGAAAAGGGAAGATAAGCTGAGCAAGCATAAAATGGAGAAATTTTCAGCTAAGCTAACAACAATCCTGTTTGAGAAGTATAAGAATCACTGGTACTTGGACAACCCATCTAGAGGACAAGCCTTTAGGTAAGAGGACCCTTAGAAGGGGAGGGGGACACGGAGCTTTGTGTGATATTCCCGATGCAGTGAATACCCTTTCAGTGCCTGGAGCCCTTAAATTGGAAATAAGTGGGACAAAATGGGAAGAGAATCCCTTAAGCTTGAGGGAAGAAGTGTTAATAACTATTGCAGAGGCACCTAATTTGAACCTGGTTTCACTGTGTGTGCCTGTGTAGGTATAATGAGAAAGCAGAGGTGGAAATCTTAAGGCAATACCCCTCTGACTCCTTGAATGCAGGGTTCAGGTGGTCTTAGACTGACTTGTGGAGTTGTGGTGCTTTTAATTCTCTTAATTACCAGTGAATTGCTGCGTTGTGTTCAGCACAAAACCTTGTTTGGGTTTGCAAATCGGTTAGTTAAGCTAACTTGCTATAAATGAGAACTTCCAGCAACAGCCTAAACGTGTTGAGCAAATAGAGTGAGCTTCCACCCGAGCAGAGCTTGCGAAGTTGCAGTGAAATCTTAAATCCATCTGCGCTTTGTCCTTCCCTAGGTGTATAAGGATAAACAAACATCAGACAAAAGATCCACTGCTGGAGCAAGCTTGTGTGGAGAGTAACGTGGACTTCAATAAGCTTGGTTTGCCGAAGGAGATGACGCTCTGGGTGGACCCGTTTGAGGTTTGTTGCAGGTGAGTTGAGCATCTGTGGCTACGGCACGTCAAGCGCCCTGTACGCACCTGAGCCTGTTAGGAGAGTTTCGGTGTCTGAGGGCGTACTTACTAGTGTGAGTAGGTGACTACTAAGAGACGTCCGTGCTGGCAGCGCAGACCTGCGTTATACAGATACAGTCCCTTTCAGATACGGGGAGAAGAACCGGCCCTTCACGATTGCCCACTTTGAAGGCGAGGAGAACCCAGAGCTTTCCCAGCAGATCAGGTATGCTGTTGAGAGAGCAGCACTAGACTATCATTCTGGCATTTCTTCGGATGAGGAGAGCTTCAACAAGGAGCCCAAAGCTATCCCTACTGTCAGCAATCCTAACAGCGTCTACCAGGTGAGCGTGTGGGAACGGTACATGGCTTTCAGACCGTCTGTCCTCTCGGCTCCCTTATGAAGGAATGCGCTAGACTTGACAGTTGATGGCCAGACTCATCTCCCCTCTTTTTTTCCCCAACACATTTTTAACATTATCTCGTTTCTTGCTGTTTAGTTCAGTGACTACTGCAAGGCACCCATACAGCCCTGGTCTCAGTATCTTCATAGGAAGACCTATATGACCGATGTCTCATACTATGCCCAGCACAGGGATTACAAAGTCTACGGGCCAACAGCTGCTTTCGCAGGACCACGTGTCGATAGATACCACTGGATCAATACCAAGCGGTAGATCTGTGGCTGCACGTGTTGTAGGCTCTTGAAACACTGAGCTGTGCTATGGGATGACGGCTGGCACTACGCAGTTTTTTCATAAAAACAGAAAGAGCTTCCTGTCTAATCCCTGTATCTCTGTGCATCTGAAACTTTGAGGTTTTATGATATAACCTTTTAAATGTTTTATTAATGTTAACGTAAGATTGAAAATTAATGTGAAACTCTACTTGTAAGGTAAAAAGGAAATGCATATATCAATAAATCTACTCGTGTTTTTTTTTTTTTTTTTTAAAAGCTGTCTGATCTACTATCAGTGCCCTGAAGGGAGTTGTGTTTTCACCAAAAAGCTTTTACAAGCAAGTCAAGGAAGATAAAAACATCCTCCAAGTTGCTTTGAATGATAGTCTGCTTTCTACTGGCAAAGGTAGCGAGGGCAGCTGCCTTGTGAGCAAAACGTCCGGGCATCACAAGCAGAATCACCTCTGTGCTCCCCCTTGAGAGAAGCCTCGGTCTGTGCAGCTGTGAAAGACTGCCCTGTGGCTCCAGCTAGGCTTTGGCCTCTAGACTACAGCTTACTTGGCAGAAGAACCCAGTCTTAGGGGCAGGAGAGGGGTGAGCACATGGTGATGTAGCTTTCCACAGCTCTGAGCTAATCCGTCACCTTGTAGAATGATGGAGCCGTTATCTCTAGGGCCGCCTAACTGCCACTTTGCAGTCTTGTGGCCCATAGGAAGCTTTTCTCATGGCTCTGGGCAGCCTGAGTCAAACTATCTTCTAGCAGTCCAGAAGCCCAGACAGAGGGAGACTGCCCTTTCAGTGGAAAAGGACTCACTGGAATGCTACTGGGCTTCAAAACTACACTCTGGGGTATTGTTTCCAGCACCGAGTAGAAAAGTGGTCTCAAACAATCAGAGCCAACACGACTTTGCTCTGTTGACTTGCAGTATGTTTTCCTACTGCCTGAACTTGACGTCTACTTCATCGTTGCCTGCTGAGCCGCGTAAGGGTTGCAGAAGTGATGTCAATAACTTCTGTTTTGCGATTTAATTTAGTTAAAATTGAGTTTGTTGAAACTTAAGGGCTCATGGAAATACCCATGGTTGTCCCTTACTGCAGCCATTTCTACTTGCTTCAGTCAAGCTATTATTACTTAGTAAGTAATGATGGAAAAAAAATCTGCTAATAAGTAGCCCTGAACAGGAGCACTGCTTTTTTTTTTTTTTTTTTTTTTTTTTTTTTTGATAACTAGGAGGCAGTTCAAGACTGGAGGGCTCCCTGTATAAGTGAATGCAAAGAGCAAAAATTAAAACTGTAGTATTGCTTTTTTAGCTAAAATCTCATATAGGTGGGAAAAAAACATTTGTGTCAAGCCACGAGTGCTCAATAAACTGCATCCTATTACCTTTCGAGTAGGATGTGGATGGGGATGATCAGGAGGCTAAGGGCTGTGATCAACTCTTCTCACAGCTCTGTCTTGGTCATGCTTCACCATGGCTTGGTCCATAATTCTTCAGAACAAACCCCTATCGGTCACGTGGGCTTTTGCACAAGAATTTTGCAATAAACTTGATATTAATAAGGTTTAGTAGATCGCTCATGTAAAAAGTAAAAATCCTCCACTTCCTCTAACTAGAGTTAATTTCCTTTCTGAGATGGCTTCGTTCTGAAGTGTGAATATTGCAATCTGGGGTCGTTGAATGAGCTGAGTAAATAAGATGCGAGGAGAGGCTGCTTCATCACGGTAAATCAGCAGCACTGTTTCAAACTGATTCTTGCAGCTTTGACAATAGAACTTGTAGAGTACAACTTAATCCCTTTATTGTAATCAGTAGTGTTTTGTTTTGTTTTTTTCCTAGAAATACCAAAACAAGCATCTGTGTATGGGGTGAAGGTGTGAACAAGCGATGCAGCAATTCCGAGAGAAGGGAATGGACACATAAATTGTGAGATTATAATAATCCAACCGCTTCTCAGTGTTGAATATTTGATGTATAATGAGGTAACGGCATTAGTGTTGAGGGTTTTCAGTGATTTATGAAAGAGTTTGAATTTTGTCCTGTGCCTCCATGAGTTCTTGAACTGGTGGAGAAGGATCTTAGGTGACTTTACTCTTTCCCATTTGCTTTTTACCTAAGCTAGAGGCTGCGGTAGACAGAGAAGAGGTAATATTTCACTGAGGTTTCATGTGTTTCAGGGTTTGGCTCTTGAATTTGGGAGGAGGAAAGTCTGTCTTGCCAAGCTTAAGAGCAAGGCCAGTCTTAGACAGTGCAGGGCCTGCACTCCTGCATGGGGGACACTACAGAGCAGCTGGAACACGGTGATTGAGAACAAATAAAGGTTGGCTGGGCTGGGCGCGTTGCTTTCAGTGGTGGAGGTAACACCTCTTGCACTTGACGCGTGATTGTGTAGGTACAGTTACTTGGGTTGATTATACCTATAGCTTTCCCTGCCTCATAAAGTCAAAAGAAAAGTCTGTCTATCAGCTGATGGCTACAGAGGCTTCGGAATGTGTAGCGGAGTGATATGTTCATTTTATTTTTTTTTTAAACATTAAGCAGAATTTTGAGTGATCCTGTATTTTTCTTCTGTTTCTGGAAACTGAGTTTGAGCCTTTGCAACCGTGTTTGTCTCTTCACCACTTGAATATAACCAGAAATGTCAAGTCACTTAGGCTAAAGTCTTGTCACTCAAATGACTACATTGCTTTCACTCCTAATTTAATGAGCCTTTAGTATGAAGGGGAAAAATACACTGTAGTTAAAACAAAAATACAAGATTGACCTTGGCTTGAAGCCTGAGGACAAATGCAGAGGACCAGGTTAAAACCAAACCACCAAGTCCTCTTCTGAGTACCATTACAGCTTCCTGCCTAGGGCTATTTTCTCTTCTAATGCATTTATTTGTTTTACCAAACAGTCTTTCTCCAAACTAGTTATTTCGAGGTAGTAAAAAAGCAAGTCTTCGTTGCCTTTACTGTTTAAAAACTGTTGTTCATCCTCTATGATATGCACCAGCTCTTCAGTTAACACATCCACTTTATCCTCAAGTTCTGAAGGGGACAAGTGAGTGCAGGTTTCTTCTTCAAAGCTAAAAAAATGGAAAGGAATGCTTAAGGTGAGGTAGGAGAAATTCCACCATTGAGGTGATATCCATAGACTCTTCATGAGAGCAAGCCAGAAAGACAATTTTCACTAAAACTTAACTTCTCTATTAGTGAGAAAGTGACGGTACTTTACAGAGGAGTAATCGGTCATTCTGTGACGTACCCCAGCATCAAATCTGATCTGTCTTTCATGCAACGTGCCTGGATGTAAAAGGTTATGGAGACTGGCCTTGTAGTATAAAGTGAGGTCATGATGAAGAGGTGTCAGGATTTGCTTTATATCCCCCCCCCCCCC